TTTACAACAGCCCCTTCTTACCCCGAGACCCCCCTCACCCCAGTCCCCTCAGGTTCCCTGCGCCGTTTCTGCTGGCCTTTGACTTTACCCACCCAGCACCCCTTGACCTAACCCACCCTGCACCCCTCATTCCACTGCTCTCCTGGTATCTCCCCGGCCTCCCACACCCGCATGCCTGGGGAAAGCCTGTGTATTATCAGCACAAACTGCTTTCTGGACCCCAAGAAAAAAAAAAGGGGAGCTGTTTATTGGGGGGTGGGAAACACAGCCTGGGTGCCTCTGGATTCTGAGGGCATGGCGGGGTGAGTGGACTTTCCTGGACCTAGCGGCTCAGAAAGGTGGGGAGGAGGGGGGTCCCCGCGGCGACGGGCAGGGGCCCCAGCCCGTCCCTTTCAGGGGGGACTCATGCATCAAACTTCAATTTTCCGGACGATTGAATTAGTGATTTTTTTTCTCCTGAACTAAAATACACTTAAGTCTTTGGGATTAATTACCACGTTCTGGTCCCTCAGACTGGAGTATTACTTATCGGAGCTGCGTCTGACACCAGCCCGACACCTCGTAAAATAAGGAACTGCGCCTCCCGGCCTCGCCCGCCCGGCGTCGCCCGCCAGGCCGCCGAGTCGGGCCAGGCGGAGCGGGGGAAGCCAAGCCAGCCGATCGCGACGCACCAAGTTCGGCCTGCCGGTGCCCAGGAGTGCCCAGCTCGGACAGCAGAACCCGGTTGTGTCCCCGGACGTGGCAAGCGCTCACCAAGGTTCACAACCCAACCAGGAAGAGAGACAAAGCCGCCGCGGGGGTAGGGGTGGGGGAAACAACTCGAAATTGGGTCCTCAGAGAGGCCAGATTGCCAACGACCCAGGGCAGGGGCAGGGGCAGGGGCAGGGATGGGACACTGGCCTGGCCGCAGAGCCAAGCCTTAACGAACTTTGCCTAAAGTGGTCGTGGGGTCCACAGCCCCACACACGACCCATACTACGTTCAGACCCAACGCTCAGGTGCAAAGAAGCACACTCAGTATACATGCCCCACGCCCACAGTGCTTGCTCACGGGTGGGGTGCACGCACTTCACACAGCTGCACGCGAGACAGGCCCGGCAGGCACCTGCTCAGAGGCCCAGACGGACCCTTGAGCTCCAAGACATCAAATCGTCCGTGCCTGTCCACTCCAGGCCCCGCCATCTGAGCGCGCCTTTAACTCATCCCTGTTGCGGCCCCTGTCATCCACACTGGCATAGCCAGAGCCCAAGCCTCCCCGATCCCATGCCTTCGCCTTCGCCGAAGCTCCATGGCCCTAACCCACACCCGCTGCTTTCCCCACGGCTCCCCGATGAATGGGGGCCTAGTGATGAGCCCCAGGTTGCGGTGCTCTGCTCCGTTCCAGTCCGGGCCCGACACCTCCCGTGGGGCCCACTGGGTTTCCGAAACCCGCCGCCAGCCCGGCTGAGACATCAAATCCAACAGAGCCGAAGGGACTGCAGAATGTCTGGGATCCATTCTGCATTTTGTGCGGGGACCCAGCATGCGGCTCTCTCCTCGGGGTCCTCCTCGGCTGGAGCTCAGCGTAAGGCTCCTGCATTCACTTCTTCCCACCCTTCGAAGCCCCGGTTGGGTCTCTCTTCCACCAGTCCTCCTCCTGTCTAGCCTGTAGAAACCACGGATCTTTCGAGGCCTACGTCCCTTGCCACCGCCCCCCACGCACCCCCCAGAAGCCGGAAACCACTTTGGAATCTCAAGCCGCCTCTGCTCATTTTCCCCAGCAGCATTTCCCAGCCCCTGTTAACGCTTAAGTGCGTCCCTGCCTGCTCACTAGACTGTGAGCACTAGACTGCGAGCACTAGATTGTGAGCTCCTTGCGGGCAGGAACCGGATCAGATGCGTTTCCATTTCCCTAGCCACCTGTGCACAATAAACATTGCTGAACTGATTTCCCTCTTTATTTTATTAATCCTGCCCCCTTCATTCTTTCCCTCTTTCTTTTCCTCCTTCCTTCCTCCCTCGTTATTTTTTATTTCTTGGTTATATTCAATTGTCATGTTTTTCAGGCTCATTAAATCCATTTAGAGACAAAAGAATAAAAGGCAGAAGGGGAAGGGAGGGGGAGGCGGGGAGGGGGAGGGGAGGGGGAGGCCAGAGAAGCAAACAAATAACCCGCTTTAACTAGACGGGCGGATAAATGGCCCCGTTTCTCCTCAGCCCCGATGCGCCTGCTTAGCTGCGCGCCCCGCGGGCGCCGCAGCTCGGGTGGGCTCAGCCCCGAGGCTGCCGCCCCCAGCCCGAAGGGACCCAGCAGGGCCCAACCCAAGGCCGCGAAGCAAGGAGCGGCCAGAGGTGCCAGGGCCGCTTCATTGGGATTCATGGGCGTGTTGGGCGGGCGGCCTGGGGCTCTGGGCGCGGGGCGGGGGCCGGGCAAGGGGGGAGTGGTGAGCGCGGCGGGCGCAGATGCCCGGGTGACCGCCGCGCCGCGGTCCCTGCGCCGCCTTTGTGCCGGGGAGGCGCGCGCGGGGACCTAATCCATCAAATTGTCTACAAATTGTGAAGAAAATTCAAAAACCATATGGTCGCCAGCGCCGGCGCGCTCTGGGCTGCGGAGGGCCGCGGCCGTGCCCGCACCGGGAGCCGCGGGGGGCTGGGCCCGGCTATTGTCGCCTGTCAGCGGCCGCCCGGGCCCATTCGTCCCGGCCTTCATGGTCCGCGCTCCGAATTACAGACCCATCCATCCTGAGAGAGGGCGATTTATGTCGCCCCGAGAAGAACCGGCCGCTCGCCCGAGCCGCTGCCCGGTCACCTCCTTCCTTCTCTGGTCCCTCTACGCTTTCTTCTCTCGCCTTTTCCTTTTCTCGTTCTTCCTCCTCTGTCTCCATTTCCCTGTCGGTCTGTTTCTCTTTTTACATTTATAAATTGGCCTCCTTTCCTCTCCTCTTGTGTCTCTGTGGATGGATGTCCCTCGTTCTGCTCTGGACTTTTTTTTTTTTTCTTTCCTCTTCTGGGCTCTTTTTTGTTTGTTTGTTTGTTTCTGGCTGTCTTAGTTTCCTCCCAGACCCTCACATTCCGGACTCAGGCCCGGGGGCCCCACCGCCTGCCCAAGACCAGATGCGAATTTCTCACATCAATTTTTCGGAGAAAGAGAGAAGAGCGGCCCGGAGGCAGGACCTTACTCTAGTGACAGCGGCCACTCGCCAGACTGGCGACAACAAAAGCTCAGAGAGAAACCCCGGCTCTGTCGGGGGGGAAAAGTGAAAGTGGCATGAACCCCCGCTCTCGCCACCCTCCGGAGTGGCAAAAACCAGACAACCCTGACATCCATCCATTTCTCTGCTCCTGGCTGAGGTTGCGTGTGTTTGAATTTGTGAATGTCACCAGAATCTACCCCAAATCCCAGACGCTTTGCACTCACACTCCAGTGTTCCTGTGCAATTCAGCCTGCCCCTGTTGCTACAGCCTCCTTCTTTACTGCCCTGCCACCACCAAGGACGAGGCCCTCAGGCCGGGAACAAAACTTGGGAGCCCCAAAGCTCCATCTTGATGTCGGACGGAATGACACCTGCCATACACCCAGGGCTTAGCCAGTGTCTCCAAGAGCACAGGTAGAATTTGTTTTTTGGGGGGGGGGATGAGGGTGGTAGGGTTGACATGAAGAAACATAGGACAAATCTCTCCTCCCCAGCCTTTGTTCCACACAAATTAATTTGTTCTGTGACGCTCCTCACACACAAGCGGCCTTCTGTCAGTATCTCAAACCTTTTTTTTACCCCCACCTGGCGAAGCCATTCTTTCCCCTTATTTAGTAGAAGCTTCTTGTTTAGGGCAAGAAGCACCTCCTCCCATTGCTTCCCTTTCATCTTTGGCTCTCAAGGCTGTCTTGAACCCCCCCCCCAAATACACACACACACACTCACATACAAGGCTGGGGTGACCAGCGAGGAGTCACTCAGACTGCTGCTACTTCCATGAACTGGCCCACTCACTCTGAGACAAGGTCGCAGCGGATTCTAGTAAAATGGCAAAGACTTTTATTTATAGGAGAAAGAGGCCTTGGGTACAGTCCGCAGAGAAGAGGGCAATAACAGGAAAGGGGCACAAAGAACCCACCCTCATCACGCCACCCTTGTCTGGCCAAGTCGAGCTAGGAGCAGGGCATCGCAGACCGAAAGTCAGACCTAGAGCTGCAAGGTGGGGTGAGGGTAAAGGATTGGGTCGGCCTCCTCTCTATCTCTGTCACATGCAAAAAAATTCTATAAAGAGTAAAAAATAATTCTAGGGCTTTGGATTCTGTTTTCGATGGTTGGTTGATTGGTTGGCTACCTGCTTTGTCCCTAAGAGCCGAGAAAATGCAGAAGGGATGGAAGAATTTAAAAAATATAGCAAGTGGGCACTGGGAGGCAGAAATGGCACCGAAAACAGATTTCTCTTAGGTGGGGAGGAGGGAAAGAGTGATTTTGAAACTTGCAAGTCAGGACCTGGCTGCTACCCTTACCCACTTCCCACGCCTGAGAGGGGGAGGGGGAGGAGGAGAAGAAAAGGCAGAGGGAAAATTTAAAAGTCAACTTTCATAGGCCCAGGGAGTCCAAGAGGAACCGGGCCGGTGCATTCGCCACATGCAGAGAAAAATCAAAACGGCGGGAGCTGCCCCTCTTCTAGACCCTGGGGTTAATATTCGCCGCTCTCCATTCTGCCTCACCCTTTACCAACCCGGCAGCACCGAGCTTTGCAAACATCGAAATATCTGCGATATTAAAAAGAAGAAGAAGAAAGAAAGAAAGAAGAGAAGAAAAGAAATCAAAAGATCAGGCTGCGGGCGAAGGGAAGGACCTGCTATAGAGGTTTAAATATTTATACAGAAGCCATACAAAATTGCACGGCAGCGAGGGCTCCGGGACGGCGGAAGCCTCGTTCTAGGGCCAGCCCGGCCGGCCAGATCGGATTTATTGCTTCGAGAGGGAAGAGATGGGGGCCTACACCGGGCGCGTGGACAAGGGAGGAGGCGGGAGTTGCAGAGGAGGTCCCAGCTCCCCTCGGCGGTCCGGTCGGGTCTGGGAGGCGGCGGGCACGCGGGCCTTAGGAGCCCGGGGTGGTGCAAGATCCAGAGCGCCACTCAATCGTCCACATCGATCTCTTCGTCCTCCTCGTCCTCCGAACAGTCCTGGCTGCTGGCCCGCTGGTCCGTTAGCGGAGAGGCAGGAGAGAGCTGCAAGGGCCCGGCGCCGGGGACCTGCGGTGCGCCTGTGGGGAGAGCCGGAGAACCCGGCCTCGATTTGGCCCGGCCGCAGCCACCGCCGCCACCGCCTGCGGCCTCCGAGTTCTGCTCCAGTTCCGCTAGTGCTACGATGTCCATCTGCCCGCTGGGGCCCAGTTTCTTGGCGGACTCCACGTCGGCCTTCATCTCCTCTAGGTCCCGTTTGAGCTTGGCACGCCGATTCTGGAACCAGGTGATGACCTGTGCGTTGGTGAGGCCCAGCTGCTGCGCGATTTGGTCGCGATCTGCTGGGGACAAGTACTTCTGGTAAAGGAAGCGTTTTTCCAATTCGTAGATCTGGTGATTCGTGAAGGCCGTGCGGGACTTTCGCCGCTTCTTAGGGGTCTGCCGCTGCCCAAAGATAGTCATCCCATCGCGGCCTGGAAAGAAATGAGTGTAGGCTCACATCGGGACAGTGAAGACCCCCACCTGGTTCTCGTCCCGTAACTCTCTCTCCACTCAGGCCCAAATAGGCTGCTTTGTCTCGGGTCCCCTTTTCCAAATTTCATTTCACCTTCAAGACTAAAGCAAACCCGAGCTACGGCAAAGCTCCTCCGGCTTCTGGACTCCTAGAAGTCCCTTGGAAAAAAAAATTATTTTAGTCTCTGCCCCCCAAGAGTTGGGGTTTACAGATCCAGTCTGAGAACAGGAAGAAGAAGCCAGATAAAAACTCCTTTATGGCGGTGTGAACCTTGGTTCTCCACCCTTTTCCCACCCTCCGACTCTATTCTACCCAAAGGTCCCAGATAAAGCTTGTCTCTCCCCACTCCATGAGTAAGGCCGTGGGGAATCTGGGAACTACACGGAATCAAGCAGAGCCCAGAGAGGTCTCTGCGACCATCTCTCTCAGATCATCCCAACTCTGGCCTACCTAGAGGTCTCTAGGTATCAGGGACTAGGTCCTGTCCCATCTAACTACCAACACCAGCGGCTCAGGCTGGAGGGCCCTGGCGGCCGGCGCAGGACAGAGGCACAGGACATTTCCGTGCAGGGCACTGCGCGTGGAGCGCAGCGGGGCGCAGGGGAGCCTAGCGGCAGTGCCTACCTTCGGCTGCCTGCAGGACGCTGACCTCCAGTCCCTTAAAGGTCTTGCTGGCGAGCTCCTCCAGCGCGCAAAGCGGTGAAGTCTGCGAGAGTAGCGCACGGCCCGCCAGGGGCAAGCCGCCCGGCGCGTGCTTGTCGGCGGCGGCCAGCAGGTGCGCCGCCCCGCACAGCGAGTAACTTCTCCGCACAGACGGCTTGTTGAGGATGTCCTCAATGCTGAATGGCGTCAGCGGCTTGTTGGAGTTGGCGGGAGGCGGCAGGTGGTCCAGCGGGCTGCGCCGCCGCTCCTCCCCCGGCGCCGCCTTGCCGTCCTCCTTGGAAGTCATCTCGGCCGCGTTTGGGGGCCCGGCCGGGGAGGCTCGGGCCGCGGGGACCCAGCCCGCGGGCAGCTCGGGCGTCGGACGGTGCGGGAGGGCGGCGAGGGGGTGGGAAGGAGGCCTCGCCGAGTTGGACGCGGCCAGGCACGGGGGTGATTAGCGCGGTGGCCGAGGCAAGCAGAGCCGCCCGGGGCCCCGAGAGGAGCGCGCTGACGCGGGCGCCGCCGCCGCCGCCGCTGCCGCTGGGGCTTCCAGCAATCCGGGGCTGGAGCCGGGGCGCGCCGCGCGGGGCTCCAGTTTCGCCAGCCCCGGTGCTATTTAAAGGTGTCAGGTGGCTCGGCGGCGGCTCCTGGCCCCGGGTCCTGGCCGCGGCAGTTGGAAGAGCCGAGGCGAGGGCGCGGATCCCGGACTGCGAGGGGAGGCGGAGAGACGGGGCAATTGACTATTGCTAACAAGTTAGCCTTGATCGAGGAGTAATCAATTATCTGCAGCAGCACTTCTCTCTTTCTCCCTTTCCCCTTGTCTTCTCCTCTTCCTTCTTTCTCTCTGTTCGCTCTCACCCCCCCCCCCGTCCTCTCCCTCCTCCCTCCCTCCCTCTCTTCTCTCCGCTCAGCTCCCCCCGTCTCTCTCCTTCTCTACCTCTCCCTCGCCCTCTCTTTCACTCTCTGTCTGTCCAATGCAGGCGGCTCTAAGTTGGAAAGCTCATTAATTAGCGGGCCGGGGGTAGGAGGAGCCGGCTGGAATTAGCCTGCCTAATGCGCCTGTCAGTCCGGGCTCCGCGCCGCACTCGGGCCGAGCTGTTTGTAAATTACATTAGCGGCGCCTTTATTGCACCCGAACCTCGGGCGACTGAAAAGCCACCGCCCCCCACCCCAAACTGAGAACCGGGCTCCCCGGCGCACCCACCTCCCGCCGGCCTGGCTGAGATGGCAGCGCCAGTCCGGAGATCTCGGGCTCTTCTACCCGGAATTTGGAGCCCAAGAAGGGTGGCGGGAGCCCCAGCCTGGGAGGGACGTGGTCGCCGCGCGGGCCAGGTAAGAACAGGAGCCCGAGTGGGCCCCGCTGCCGCTCAGAGAAGACTTTGCCCAGCAGAAATCAAGAACCTAGCGCCCCCCATTCCCGGAACCCTTGCCCCTCATCCCTGGGCCCTGCGCCTGGGAAAAATACAATCTTCAATCCAACCCCACCCCCACCCCGCCGCCCAGGGCTGGCCAGCCCCACATCCCTGGGTGGGCGACGCTGGACAGGCATGGAGATCCCAAGAGTTGGGGGAGGAGACCAGTTGGAGGACTCAGCCTTCTCCACGCCAAGAGACAGAGGGAGGAGTAGTTGGTGGTTCCGGGCGCCTCTTCCCTCCGCCTGAGCCCGAAGCGGCCGCCCTACCTCCTCCAGCGCTCTGGCACTCTTTCCTTCTGTCAGGCTGTCGAGGCCTGCTAGGGCCACCGCTTGTCTGATGATGGCTTCCGAAGGCAATCCGACCGCGTGCCGGGGCTACCAACACCGGCTCAGAGCTTCCGGGTTGTACTCGGCCGGGGCCCGGGTAGGGGCCCCGCTTGCCTGCCCCGCCCAGCCCAGTGCAGGGCTAGAGTGAACCCGCCGGCCCGCCGACCGGCCGACTCCAGCTGTTCCGGATGCGGGGTGGGAGCCCAGAGGGGGCCGGGCCAGTGCTAGGGCTGCGCTCTTTGGAACTCGCGGGGAGGCCGGGTTCCAGTGAAGCTGGAGGTTGGAACCCAGTGGCCGGGAATCTATGAACAGTAGACGAGTATTTTGTGTGCATTATTTGAAGGCGTTTGTGCTTTCAAATGTGTGTATTGTGTGGTTCACCAAGGAAGTATTTATGCAAACGTGGGCGAACCTCTGGACATACAGACAGGTTTGGATCTCTATCTACGATGTCTTTGATTTCCCTGAGACATGTCGGTGGTGGAACTGTGCCCTCCGGCCCTCTTTCTTGCTACCCCATCTGGTTTGTGTCGGACCCTAATTTTCCATTTCTGCCCTTGGAGAAAGAAGAGGGTTGGAGCCAAGGAAAGAGGAGCTCTCCCTCACATCCAGCACACACAGACCTGCTGGCTTTGTTTGTAAACTCCTGGTGGGCAGTGCGGTTTAGGCAGCTCAGCCTGGACCTGAGAGGGGCCCAGACATTCCAGTTGGATGACTTGTGGCTCTGGACAGTTTGATACGGAATTTCTTGTCCCCCGTGTCTGCCCTGGAAAGGGAGTGAGCTCAGCTAGCCTCACCCAGCTAGACTATGGAGCAGGATGCAGGCTCTCTCCTCTCTTTGCCTCCTTGGAAGGGTCTTTATGTGTCAGGGATAGATTTTTTTTTTTTAATTTCACATGTACTTGTGTTTGGAATCACAGTTTGCAGCTTTCTGGAGTAAAGGAGAACAAGTAGGGTGAAAGGATTTTTGTAGGGGCACTAGGGCCACCGGGAATACTGGAAGGAGTATCCTACTCTCTTCCAAATCTTTGCCCTGCATTATTTGGGGTGGAGGGGGACAGGAAATAATGGCCGGTGCTCAGAAGCAGAAATAGTCCCCCAAAGCTGCAGGTCCATCCCCAGGGCAGGATGTATCCCCTGTCTCTGATACATTCCTTCTGTCCTAGAAGCCTTGAGGAGATGCCGGGCCTAGCAATCTCGATAGATGGATAGGGATAGATGGAGAAGAGTCTGAGGATGAGGATGCCAGGAGAGGCTGGGATGGAGAAGGCTTGCAAGACAGATCTGTTTCCTTCTCTCACTCCTTACCCAGAGGATCTCACCTCAGACCTTTCTTGCCATAATGCCAACTCCCTGACCCAGAGCCTCAGGCAAGACACCCTTCCTCGGTGCTAGCAGAAGGGTCTTTCTAAATAAGATAAGGAAGCTGTGTCCTTTGGAGTCCCTACCTTTTTAGGTGGGAGCTTCCTTTAATATACACACCCTTTTATGTTGGAATCATTTTCTACACTGGGTAGTCCTGTTGAGTTGGACCTGAAGGACAAGCCCAGCCCCTAGTCTTGCCCATCTCCCAATTCCTGAAGACTGACAGAGTTCAGGGTTACTGGGAAGCTTCCAGAAAATGGTAGAATATGAACTAGGAAACAGAAGGGCACTGTTCCCTGGGGCCTGTAGTCTCTGGCCTCACCATGTCAAAATGAAGAGAGGACATTCCACAATCGTTTGCAGTATTACTTCCATCCACTTTCCCTTCCCCTTCTGGCTAGTACCAGCTGCCCAGTCCCAAGGCTTTCCTCCTTTGGCCTAATTGGTTGGCCTCTTGTTTGTGTGCAGGTTCGCAGCCTGTTGAGGAGCACGTGGTACCACCTGGTGTGTTGTTGTTTCAGTTCTTTTTGCTCAAATTCCCTTGTCCAGGCCACCTACTGAAATCTGCCAGAGGGCCCCCAAAACCTTACCCCACCTTCACTCCCCCCAAACCTCTGTGTTGCTGACCGGGATCCTATAGGCTCTGGGGGGTCCAAGTTGTCTGCCCTCCCTTCCCCCTCCCGTGGAGCAATGAAGTACATTTTGGGTTTGCAATTGGATGCCCTCCCCAAGAAGACTTTGAGATCTTTAAAGGTAGGATCCTAGCTGTGAGTTTTCCACGCAGCCCTGACCCACCCAGGCCTGGGGGACACCCAGTCATAAGACACCTAGAATATTTGCTGAATGGAGGTCCATTCAGCAAATATGACACAAACGATTGCATTAAAAAAAAAAAAGAACAGCTCAGAGTTTAGAGATCAGGAAACTCCAAAAGGGGAGAGAGCCTGCAATGGCTGTAGATATGGGTTAGAAGCAACCTAGCCATCAGAGTCAAAATTCTAGTTTTCCATCTCAACCCTCTTCTGGGATTCCACACCAGAAGGAGATGCTTGCTCAATAGCACCTCCTACTCCTAGTCAGTTGGGCTAGTTTCGTGTCACCTGGAGCCAGTGGCAGCTGCTATCTGGAGTCTACTCAAGATTGAATATCTGTTCTCAAACCCTGGTCTCATATCCAGAGACCCCTTGATTCTTTTTCATTGCCTATAAGACCAGGATCCATCTGGACCATCTCCAGTGAAAGGGAGGCAGTTGTTCTACTAAAAATCTGCTTGCCCCAAGTTTTAGGAATATTCTGGACAAAGGAGGGAAAGAGCATTGCATGAATCACCATGATAAGGGGACCCTGCAGACTCAAACAAAATAAGTTATTCCTTAGCACAGGAGAATAATTCAGTTAACCCCCTCAGAGGCTCCCTCGAATTCAATCCACATTGTTGTTTAGCCCCATTTGTTTCCAAGTTCTTCGCATAAGCCATTGGCTCTCAGGTTAGAGTTCCTTTACAAAAAAAAAAAAAAAAAAAAAGGGTCTGACACCATTTAAAACGAACTAACTTGACCACTAGTCTGGATCACTTTTGCCCCAAGGAGACTACTTCTCTGATAGTTCTTAGGGAATTCAGAGAGTGCTTCTGCTATAAAAATGGTTTTCCAAAGATGGTTTCATACCACTCTGGTTGAGCCAGGACTGACCATTTGGTTTTTATAGATCAGTCTGTAGTAGTAACAATGATAACCAAGACAATATCAATATGAACAAGCCTTTAGTCTACTTGGTTCCAGGCTGTTTTATTAATTTAATTTGTTACAACTCCTCCTTCCCTCCCTTCCATCCTTCTTTCTTCCCTTCTTTCTCTCTTCCCTTCTTTCTTCCTTCCCTCCCTCTCTCCTCCCTCCCTCCTTTATTCCTTCCTTTCTTCCTTCTTTTCTTCTCTCTCTCCTTCTCTCCCCCCCCCCCCCACTCTGGTGCCAGTGCCAGGGATTGAACTCAAAGCCTTCCACTCTTGTTTGGCTTACTTGCTCTCTGAGAAATTTCTACCTGTCTGGCTTCAAACCTGTCCTCCAGGTCTCTGCCTCCTGAGTGGTTAGTTTTACAGATGTGAACCACCAGCACCTGTCTTGTTTCAACTTTCCCCCCTCCCCCCAGTATGGGACATGAATTCAGGACCTCGCACCCAGCTTGGCTCCACTTTTGGCTTTTTGCTGGTTAATTGGAGATAAGAGTCTATCAAATTAGTCTTCCCTGGGCTGGCTTTGAACCTAAATTCTCAGCTCTCAGCCATTTGACTGGAT